TGAACTTGTCTAATGATGGGTCACGTTATTGGATGAACTTGTCTAATGATGGGTCACGTTATTGGATGAACTTGTCTAATGATGGGTCACGTTATTGGATGAACTTGTCTAATGATGGGTCACGTTATTGGATGAACTTGTCTAATGATGGGTCACATTATTGGATGAACTTGTCTAATGACGGGTCACGTTACTGGATGAACTTGTCAACATGTTATTGAATGAATTTGTCTAACGAGAGAACACGTTACTGGATGAACTTGTCTAATGATGGGTCACGTTATTGAATGAACTTGTCTAATGATGGGTCACGTTAGTAAATAACATTATCTGTTAAATAACTACAAGAAATTGGAAACTCGTGACCCCACTAAATAACATTATCTGTTAAATAACTACAAGAAATTTGAAGTTTGTTTTCTAGATATTATACACGTAGCTTATTTAACATGTAAATATCATACCGTTATATATAAAATAGTATGGATTGTTGGTTAACTGGACCTATTTATGTTAGAATGGTGATTAAATCGATCTTGTTGTGGTGGTTAATTGGATCTAGCTGTACTTGAACGGTGGTTAACTGGATATATCTGGGCTGGATTGCTGATTATTTGGATCAAGCGTTACGCGACTGAGGACTGATCGGATCTCATGTAATTATTTTTAACATTGTCGAACAAAAAGGGATTCTAAAGAAGTGAATTTTTCCCATTCTCGATGTGAATGAATGAATGTCTTATTCTTAGTTGGGCCAAACCTTTTGTACGAATAACTTGTACGAAAACGTAAGACACGAAGAAAGAGAAACAAACTGTGTATTCTAAACATTGTGTGTGTGTTTATAACTTAAATAAAAAAGAACTTGTAGGATACGATTGTCTCCTCTTTTGGTTTGCATTCATTTATTAGGTCCAACTGACTAATTAACTGATAAATTTTACCTGCTCTTAAGAAAATGAACCTTAAAAATATATTTGGTTATATAATATTCGTTTAACGAACACATGGTGAAAGTTATGAATCGTTAAACATGCGCAAAAAATTTATGGAATCTCGTTCAAGACGAGATATAACGAGAATTATGCAAGGAGAACAAAGTTTTTTTGTTGTTTTTTTTGCAAACATAAGAATCGATAATAAATTTATGTGCGCTACTTTAAGCACTTGAATTTTAAATTGTCAGGTTTTACATACAAATATATGTGTAAAAAAAATACTACTTGGTTGTGCTTAGCATCTATATTAAGAGCAGAATGTTGAGGCTGGCGTTGCAATGTTGAATTAAAATGAAACGGTATCTAGCTAATATATATATATTGACTTATAATCTTAACCATCCTATAATTAAGATCTAATTCCTATAAGTGCATGGCCAGGTGGTTAAGGCGCTCGACTCGCAATCTGATGGTCGCGGGTTCGAATCCCCGTCACACCAAACATGCTCGTCCTTTCAGCCGTGGGGCGTTATAATGTGACGGTCAATCCCACTATTCGTTGGTAAAAGAGTAGCCCAAGATTTGGTGATGATTAGCTGCCTTCCCTCTAGTCTTACACTGCTAAATCAGGGACAGCTAGCGCAGATAGCCCTCGTGTAGCTTTGCGCGAAATTCAAAACTAACAAACAAACCTATAAGTGATAACTTGTAAACATCGCCGCCTAGTGACAATGAAACAAACAACAAGGGAGGAGTTTACTCAGAAACATCTCTTCTTACTGTGTAATAATGAATGACGAACCATAGTAAAGTTGGTAATGTACCAAGAAAACGCATCGCTCTCAACTTTGATGACATTAATGGTGAGGGTCCATTTCGCATTAAACTTGGAATTTAACACACACTATGTGCTACACAAAACAAACCTGTTCACGTCAATTCCGTTTGTTTTGGTTCGTATTGCAGTGCAACAGGGTTGCTGGTGACTAGCATTACAAATGAATCTAATTAAAAGACGAAATCACGGTTATATTATAAAATATACAAGGTCAAGTCACGGGTATATTATAAACTATGTAAGGTCAATTCACTGTTACGTTATAAATTGTACAAGATCATGTCACGATTATATTAAAAATATACAAGATTAAGCCACTGTATATAATAAAATATATAAGGTCAAGTCACACACCTATATCATAAACTATAAAAGGTAAAGTCAGTTATATTATAGACCACAGTAATTCGAGTGTCCATTATATCATAATCCATGTAAGGTCAAATCATCATAACACTGTTCAGTGTTGCCACCATTCTGTTTTTATAACTATCGTTTTTATCACCCATCACTTTCTTGGCTATCATTGTTCACTATTCGACGACACCGAAATTTCTGTAGTAACAAGTTGCTGTGAAGGATAGCGAGGTTTCTTTTAAACCATACATCTTAATTAACAAAGTTTATAGGAGTTTGACTAGTACGTGATCGAGTCGGAATTATACTAGTTCATCTTGCTTCTGAAAATAACTCTAATTTTGAGGCGTCTAAACATTCTGGTTTAAGAGTTTCTCTGTTGCCATAAAGAACACTGGAGGCTTCCTTCTTTAAGATTATTTATCACTCAGTTCTACTTTATTTAACAATACTGTCTTCTTAATAATTATCTTCAGAAATACATAGGTCTACCCCCTAGCTGCATTACACTGTCGAAAATTCACCGTCAATCAAATGCACAGATGTCAAACATACCGTTAGTGGCGTCACGGCTCGCACTTATGGCTACAGCCGTATGCTAATCGTTGTGATCGACAACGACTAACCCTCTGTCGTTAATAAGACATTTGATTATTCTATTAGCTAAAGTTATTTTATTTTAAATCTACACCTTATAGGACTTTTCCTTAGAATAATCAGGGTCTTAACGTGACGTCATTTATATTTAGTGCTTTGAGACTGAATGAAGGCGTGTCTAAGCTGTTGACGTAGCAGTTAACGCAGATCAATACATCGCAGTTATGCATGTAAATTACCATATGAAAGCTGATATACAACCTGTCATGAATGATAGAAAATAGGTTGAAATATTATCCAAACTCTCAATCAATTTTTTTTCAAGAACCAGACAGCAAGTCCTGTTTATGTTAGATAACTATCTTCATCATTCACTTGTCATTCTTATTCCAAAACTTGGTAAATCTCAAACATTGTGCATACATTAGAAATATTTCAAATCTTCAACACCACCAAATGTTTATGGTATTTCTTTTGCAATGAAGACGGAAATATTGATCATCAAATTATATTTGTTTCTTACATGTGCATTTATTGACGTATAGGAAGAAATACTGTTTCCTCACTGGTGAAGTTCATTCAGTAATATGTTGACAAGTTCATACAATAACGTTTTCTCTCATTAGACAAATTCATCCAATAACGTGTTGACAAGTTCATCCAATAACGTGACCCATCATTAGACAAGTTCATCCAGTAACGTGACCCATCATTAGACAAGTTCATCCAATAAATAACATTATCTGTTAAATAACTACAAGAAATTTGAAACTCGTGACCCTAGTAAATAACATTATCTGTTAAATAACTACAAGAAATTTGAAACTCGTGACCCTAGTAAATAACATTATCTGTTAAATAACTACAAGAAATTTGAAACTCGTGACCCTACC